GGAAGATTAGATATTGGTCTATAGTTGGCTAACACCTCTGGATCCAGGGTGGGCTTTTTTAGTAGAGGTTTAATTACAGCTACCTTAAAAGACTGTGGTACATAGCCTGTTAATAAGGATATATTGATCATATCTAATATATGAGTGTTAACTAAAGGAAAGACCTCCTTAAGTAGCCTAGTTGGGATGGGGTCTAAGAGACACGTTGATGATTTAGATGAAGAAATCACTGCGGTCAATTCTTGAAGAGAAATTGGGGAGAAGCAATCTAAATATATATTAGGTCTTACAGCTGTGTTTGAGGTTAGATAGGTACTATCTGAGGACAGGAGGTCATGAATTTTGCCTCTAATAGTTAGAATAGCATGTGTTTGAAGTGTCAAACCACTGCTGAGGTTACAGCATATCTAAGGAGAACTGAATTTGCTTATTTTATGAAATAATCTAAGACATAATGAGGATGATAAAACGGAGTGACCTTGAACATGATGTGTAGAAAATGGATGAAAAATATTCAGAGAAAATAAAGAATGTTACTTTTACTGGAGCTTCTTTTCCCTAAACAGCATTTTTTTCATATGCTTTAGTTTTTGTTTAATAAGGAAATGGTCTCTGATTATTCTTCAAATTATAGGCGTGACCCTCTGCCACTGCAGCTGTGGAAGATCTTCCTTCTGAGTGAAGGGCAGATGGACCACCTCAGCTTACTTGGCCTTGATGGAAATCAGTTGCACCTTCCAGTTGAAGGTAAAAGATGTCTGTTTGAACAAGCTGTAAAAGTCATGCAGAAGATGATTATGAAGGTTAATGTCTGCCTCCACTGGGATAGAGAAACTCGTGTCTGCCAGGATCTGTGTGAGTCTCTCTTTGAGGCTTTGTCGTACATCAGCTCACTCAGGTATGTAGCTTTTGTTTTTGTGTGATGCTGATTTCACACCCTTTAAGTTTTATCCTGTTGTAAAGTTGTGGATGTTGGAATCAAAATCCTGTTTGTGGATAAATTACTGGCTTTTCAGATGGTAGTATAAGAACAAACAGCCCAAAGATTACAACTGGTTTACACACAAACCCTCACCTCAGCTGATCTCAAGCACCAGAAATACCCACCCATTTACTACTTACTTTTTTTTTAATGTCAATACAAAGATAAGAATAGTCTTACTTTATTCACTCATTCTATGGTCAGATGAGACCAGTTTTAGATGCCACACATTTGACAAGAAGAACCTTTCGGAACCCTGCACAGATAGTTATTTGTGGTTGAAATATGCTGCTGAATTTAAAGTGCTGACAGAAGATGATAACATTTTATTTGTTTAAAACTGTATGTGCTTAAATTTAACGTGACGCAGTTTTACAGTCCATGCATCATTTGATACATGTGTTTGTCATCATGCTGTTTCAGGGTAACCTTTAGCGGTCCAGGATTACAGGACCAGAAGCAACACCATGGGACACTGGAGAGAAAAGAAAAGCAGCTGTTACTGGATTTATGCCTGAAAGCTGCACTTCACAAAGGAGAAAGCTTTCACAATGTAGTGAATACACTCCTCTCGTTGTTTTCTGTTAACACTGGCATACATAACATCCTTCTTGATTTTTACCAACATGTCAAGACTGGAGGGTTTTTAAGTATCATTCCACTGAAGCCAGTTTTCCAGTCAGCTCCTGCAGTCTGGGTCATAGACCTCTCAGAGAGAAAGACCTCCATCCTCCTGGAAGTGCTGAAACTCC